GCGTATCTCGGTCGGTCCTGGCGTATTATGACATGATATGCGATGTGGAGCTATAGGATGCCGGGATGATGATACGGGCATCGGCGTTGGGGTTCATATCTATTGGCCATATATCGTTGCTACTTACCTGTTTCTGATGTTTTGTTTATACGAGCGGAGCGGATATCTCTTCATTTAACACTCGAGCTTTCATTTTCCTCCAAAATCTCCAGACGCTTTCTGATTGCGGCTTCAGCTGCTGGGTGCTGTTGCTCATTTCGTGGTTTGTAACGATGATGGAATGGGATGGGGACCAGGTGAGGCGTCGGGTATTAACCGGGGGTTTCTTTGTCTCTTTCAAGCTGACGCGAGTCATCACCTCTCACCCCTCACGCACGTGCAAAAAAAAGTACCTACCTAACATACAAGAGACAAAGCAAGGAGGATTAAAGGGAATGGGTATGAGCCGGGATTTGCTCGGTGCCTACTTACACTTTAGATAGATGTCGGGCTGATGTTCATACGTTGGGTGGGTAGGTGCGGTTGTCTGGGCTTCTCAAAATGTCTCTCAACTCGTTTTATACATGCCTTGGTACTTACCATAGGCAGGTAGTCTGGGCGTTGAGGGGTCTCCATGCGATAATTTATAGTTTTTTGTCTTTGATTGTGCGTGTTTGATCTTGTCTTGTGGCTTTGTGAGAGTTCGGGTGATTTGAGCGTGACGGTGGAAGGTTGGCTGCTTAGTGCCAGGTAGTCAGTCACTGCGGCATGTCTGGCTTTTGTGCTTGGAAGCGAGCTGCGTTTATGTGAGTATGACCTTGTGTTATAGGAGTGAGTGAGGATCTGATCTTTGAATTGATCATCGAAGTGACTCGGTGCCTGGCATCTAAAACTTGGTTCAAGTTCATCCTGTCCGTACTTACTTGGCTGTCGCATGTCTGTTCCATGACGCCAGCTTTAGCCCGACGTAGATGTTAAGGTTACTTAGGTAGTTGAGAAGTTCTTGCTTGGCACTCCTGATATGTTGCTATAGTCTGTGCTGGGCTGTTGGAGGAAGTGGTGTTTGGTATTGGATGGGGATTGTCGGTTGGTTGCCTTTCTTCTCTCTCTCTCTCTCTCTCTCTCTCTCTCTCTCTCTCTCTCTCTCTCTCTCTCGTTTCTCATAATACAATGACCCAGCCAGTAATCCCTCGATGCTAACACCCCACGGTGACTTTAAGAAGATCCACCACGTCCTCCAAAGAATTCTGCTTCTGTCGAAAGCGTGCGTATACTCGAAATTCGAACTCGCCTAGGCCTCTATCTTTGGCCCCTGAGACCGAAACTGAGATCAGGGTCTGAGGGTTACTTATTGCCGGCCGAGGATCGGCGTGCCCGGGCCGGGGTTCTGAGGTTTCTTGTCCGAGGGACTACGGGCTTTTGTGTTGTTGAGGGTGACGGGGCGAGTAAGCGTGCGTGTGTGACTACGGATGGGAGAGTGGAGATCGGGGTTTGTGTGGGGAATATTGGTATATGCACCCTTAGAGGGGTCTTCTGCTGAACTGGCACACTGACTTCTGATAAACAGATAGATGCATGTTCGACAGCCTGGACGTGAGAAAAGACGGTTTGGCTTCTGGCGCGGAGGCGGTGTTGGGATGTTCATTACGACTTCGTGTACTCAAGGAGATTGAACGGGCTGGCATCGATAAGTCCTTCACTTGCACTTAAACTGATTCTTGTGCGAGAAGGCTGATTTGTCAGAGGGGGTTTCGGGATGTATGTCGGAGAACTGGACTTATTAAGAGGTCAGAACGCGAGAAAGGATCGCTGCTCGTAACGTACGCTGCTACTCTTAGGCAGGTAGACTTAGGTCTCCATATGAAATGGCATTGTTTCTTAGGTGCTCGTCCTCTTCTCCTTGGTAAAATGGACCTCGTAGCATTTAGACTCGATATCATACATACCCTGCTTCCTTTATCCTACCTCCTATCAGGTCGTGATACCGCCATGCTAGCCTGAGCCGCAAGCGGTCAGCGAGCCCTAGCTCCTCGAATTTATCGCTCTAAGGCCTTTGGACTTATGTAGGTTAATCTGTGTGGCCTATCACTTTACTCTGAGTGAGGATTGGGGTATTGCTGATCATGCTCCTTGATAGGGCTCCTAGTCTACCTAGGTAGGATGGACGACGTACACAGCTGAGATAGGTATAGATCTCTCTTCAGCCCCTTTTCTATTGGAGCCTTCTCGGGGTCAAGTTATCAATCAAGCAGTATAACAGGAACGAGGTCCTGTTCCCCAAATTATCTGAGGCAATTCGGTCTATGTGATTAGAGACAGGCTTCATCAGCCTTTGCACGGAGTAGTTTCTTTAGGAGGAGGATGTGAGTAGAAGTATACCTAGGTAGTATCCAGTCAAGAGTAAGAGTAGGTTTTCAAGTAAATGGTTCAAGGAGACAGCATCAACGACTCCAGATAAGCGAGACACTCCTCGTCTACTCAGTCCTGGTGTTTCGTTACATTTTGAAGCCCCTGATCTATCCCAGCTCATCCCGACATACTACGTTCGTACCTCGCCATTTCACAATGCTATGTACTGGTGGTGCAGCGAGGATTCGCTTAGGCCCTATCTTCTCGGAGCAGGTCATGCTCAACTCTGCCATTTGTGTTCAATAGAGCCCGCTGCCGTACCCAATTATACGAACCAAAGGCTATACCGCTTGGCGTAGTAGACCAAGACAATATCAGCGTTAGAGTCGTTAGTATCAGTATATGTATGACCAGTATACCGGTAATGTGGCATCTAATCCTAGGGACTATGGTACATAGTTCCAGAAGGGTAGCTATCCAAATGGTCTTGCCCTGTCTCATTGATAGAAACCAGAGATGTTAATAAGCAACTGTATATAAAGTAAGCTGGCTACAGATGTTGATGTTTCCCTAATCTTCATCGGATGGGCAAGTGGTCCCAAACTGACGTGTCAGGCAGATATCTTCAATGTGGTCTAATTGTTGTATAAGGAAGGGGACTTTAAGTAGCTTCAAGTCACGAAGCGACTACCAGAGTCCGACCAGCGCATAAGCAGTAAACCTCGGTTGACCGAAGCTAATTAAATCAGCAAGCATCATTTGCAAGTCCGCTTGCCTAATTCCATCGGTGATACGCCGTACTCAAGTAATTTATTGTCAATGTTTTTACTTAGGATTTCGCCGATTGAACGATGGGTAAAGGTGAACACGGGTACGCCATCGTGGGATGATACTTCAATTAGACCATTGGAACATGCATTAACCTGTTCTTCCGTGAATATGGCCCAGAGGGTTTTCTGTAGTATATGGCAGCTGCATGCGGAATGGACTCGCCTGTTTGTAAGATGCATTTGCATCTCTGCAGAATGAAGCCGCTCGGGTCGGATTCCGCATTGTCTTGACCCATCTTCCACTATAAATAGATATGTCGTATCAGGCAGTATGTTTTTCCTGGTGAAGTTCTGCAGTCGAATCATCTGATTCCGGGTGATGCCCATGAAAGCCTCATGCTCTGCTGCAGACACAGGCCTTGGCCTTTCCTTCAGATTTTAAGGTCCAGCTTTGGATGAGGCGTAGCAAGTCGTGGTAGTCTTCAAACGTTCCTCTTCTCGTCGAATACATCAAGACCATTGATAAGTACGAAAATCTTGTAGTCTCTTCGAATTCAAGGACTACCCATTCGCGTATCGAATACTCGACACATCTCATTATAGCCAAGATCTGCATTGAGCCCTGCTCTGTAGCTATCAATATGAAGAATGAGCGTGTCTAGCTGCTTAGGTGGGCAGACTTCGATAAAGAGCACTCTAAGCCCTGTAGTCCACTCTGGTCGGATTCGAACTTCTAAAGGAAATACTTCATGCGAATGAGTCGCGATCCGCCGGCCCAGTGCTTCAATGCCTCCCTTGTTGTCCTATGTTACCAAATGAACTTCAGCAGTCTTGCCTTCCCACCCACGTAGGGAGGTACCTGTATGTTACCTTTCTGCAAGTCTGAGCTCCTCAGCCAGCAGATGACCGCAGATGAGTATGGATAAGAGACGTAGGTTGTATGAGGAAAGACTTCCAGGATCAGGAACCAGTTCCAGGATGAGCTGTAATGAAACACCATAATGTGCCGTACTTTCCCTTGTCGCGTTGCTTCCCTCCATCTAGCAGCGTGGAGTAACCTACGTACTTGTAGGTACCTGTATTATGCTTGCTTGTAAACACGCTCCAGAAATTGGCCGTCAGATGGCCTTATTCTTCTATCGACTCCAATAAGCCACAAGGTCCTTTGTCATTTAAATACTACAGATACTTGCTTTTTCTGCAATCAGAGCATGGTTCTCTCCATGTATAACGCCCAAGGCTTTAGAAAAGTGGAGATTTCCCAGAACTCCACCAACCACAAGCCTTGTGCAATCCTAAATAGGCAACAGGAGAATACCACCTGCATAGTTCTAAGTCAGCGAGGGTGAAGGGCTGTGTGCGACCGCTTCTGGATTCCACTCTACGAGCTTAGCTAACTCTTAGAAAAACCCAAGCTTGCTACCTACCACCTCTGCATTTGACAGAAATATGCGTCGAAAGCGCCGCTGAATGAGTCCTGACGTGTTCGCCTGTCTAAGAAAAGGTACGTTACTGAGAGTATTCGGAGCTCTGGCTCCTTGTCATGCTTCAAATTGGCAATCGGAGCAATTCTTTAATCACCCGTGTGCTATGTGCTTAGTGCTCCGTAAGACTCGTGTGTGCGTGTGTGCGCGTGTGCCGTTAAGATCTTGTGCATAGGAGTGCGTCATTTAACTAGCCCAAACCAATTCACGGATGCCTAATAGCTGGTACAGGGGAGGCCTCTGTTAACCTAGGAGTAGATATCCTATGTATGGTCTTGCTTCTCAACTCACTTTAGGTACTATGCCCTTTATATTGCGCTCATTCAGTCGCAGGCAGGGTGCGACGAGAAGGGGACAAAGGGTTATCACGAACCAATTTGCAGTATCAGAAATGAAGTAGAAAAAAAAGAAAAAGAAATGCCCAACACAGGAGTCGAACCTGTTGCCTCCTCATAACATCGAGGTGTCTCAATTACTAGTGAGGCGCTCTACCGGTGAGCTAGTCGGGCCCAGATCGTAGGACCCACTTTCGCGCATCTCCAATTGGATCGTTGAAATTTCCCTTCGTCATTACCACCTATATGCCAAGTTTAAATCGTGCCAGTGTCCGCTTGACAGATTAGGAGTCTCATATATACGCCGTCAAGCGGCGAGAGAGGCAAGTTTGGACTTCCATCAAGAGCGTGAAGTTCACATATGAAAAGCCTACGAAAATAGGCTACAACAAAGAAATGACTATTTCCAGCCACCGAGGCGGCTATGTAGCTACATCAAGCAGCACGCATTAGTAACTGAAAACACCGCGTAATATTTAGTCCATTGCTGGAGGCCTTGTATCTTGTCCGTCCACCCGTGCGTGCCAGTATGCAGTGTGCGTCGTGCCCTAACTACCTATCTATTATACATCGGCGACGTGGGTTCCTTTCCGTTCATTTCATTTCCATCCTCATCCCTCGTAAAAATTCCAGACGAAAAAAACAAACTTTTCTCTTCGAGCCTTGCAAACGGAAGCGGAACGCCCATAGCTAGCAAAAAGAAGAAATCAGAAACCGGAGAACCGAGAGTCAGGACTCGGAAATGGAATTGGTACTGGAATGGGAATGCGGTGGTCGTGAATCATGTTCGTGGGAACTTTATCCGTCAGCGATGCGATGCGATGCGATGCAATGCAATGCGCCACCCGCCCGTGAGAATCATTCTAGGTAAAAACAAGTCGTAGTCGTGTCGTCGTGCGCGTAGCGTAGCGTAGCATAGCGTAGAGTAGAATCAAATAGAAAACCTGTCGGGACCGAAAGACAGAACAAAAACGAATTCATGCAAGTGATGATTGGGACAGTAGCGTGAAGACATCCCCGTAAGATGATCCGTGAGGTGACGAGAGAAGACTTCGTATGTATAGTGGCAGGCTGGCGACCTGGGGAAACGTGGGATATCGATGAAGTGACAAATACCATTCCTGACGTCTTCCACCGCCTAATTTTCGAATCGGAATGTTCGAGCCTTCGAGGGAGTGGGAGTGTCGTCAGAGCTTTACTTGTCACCCTTGGCCTGTGCACCTCGAGCCAGACGAGCTCCGCTCGAGCTGGCGGCCGAGGGCGAGCTCTCCTCCTCGTCAGCGACGGCGTCAGGGCTAAGATTGTCGGTCTCTTCGAGGGAGTCGAAAGACGTGTACGGGCTCGTAGCGGGAGCGCCGCCGCCGGCACCTCCCGAATGTGACGCACCACCCGCGCCGCCGGTCTGCTGAGACGGAGGTTGACCCGAGCCGGCTGGATCTGCAACATTAATGTTAAGAACGGGCAACGCCGGAGTCGCAGTAGGTCCACGACTAGGCGGCGCGATGGGACCGAAGCGGGATCCGTAGGAAACTGCGTAGGAGACCTGGTTAGATACATATCTCACAAACGCACAAAGATGTACCGGGGGAGAGCGTTAGGAGAGTAATCTTACTCATAGGGTTTATCACACCAACACCCACGCCTCGCGCCATACCGCGGCCAGATCCCAAGGTCTTCTGCTCCGAAGCGTGGAACTCGCCGCCGCTGCGTCGCCAATTCGGGATGGTCGGGTCAATTCTTATTCCAGCACCAACGCCGACAGCGCCCTCACCACCTCCTGCACCGCCTGCACTGCCGCCGCCGCCACCAACTCCTGCAGCTCCACCGCGTCCCATGAAGCGCTCCCTAGCCCCTTCCTCACCACCACTAGCTCCACCCGCACCCGCACCCGCACCCGCACCCGCTATGCCCAGACCCGGCCCGTCGCGCTGTCGCGAGAGGTCGGCCTGGTGCTTCTTCCACCAGGCGGGGAACCCGTGGAACAGGCCGAGCTGGTGCTGCGTGACCTTGTCGAACGGCATCTCGTGCTTGTACTTGCAGCCCTGCTGCGTGAAGGCGCAGACGCCCTCGTGGACCCACTTGTCGCAGTAAATCTTGGGGCGGCGCTGCGGCTGCTGCTGCTGCTGGTTCCCGTGGCTGCCGCCCTCGCCGTGTCCGCCGTGAGAGCTGTGGCCGCCGTGGTGGGATTGGCGGTGAGGGGGATGGTGCGTGTGGGACGCTGGAGCGGCAGTCGGCGTCGAGCCGGGACCCAGGCCGCTCACTCCTCCCGCGGAGGAGAGCGTGAGGGAGGGCTGGTGGTGCGAGGGCGGCGTCGGGGGCGTGGCGGCGATGATGGTGTCGATTCGTGACTGCGGTGGCAGAGGGTGTGTTAGCGGCACCTGATTGTGCACTGATATCAAGGGGACAATGACGGAAGTGGGACTCTGTTTGCACGGAGACGGATTCCAATGACGTAGTATAGCCATTTCAACATGACTGAGAAAACCGCCGAGACAACTCAAAAGTGCTAGTGAAGTCGATGCTCTATGGCCACGCTGACACAAGGAACTCAAGAAAATATCTAGCTTACCTGGATGGTGTCAGAAGACGAGCCCGGGGCATTGGGAGGGCCCTATACAGCAGTCAGCATATCAGAGAAGAAAGCAGACGTAAACTAATGTAGGAGAAACAAGTGTTCAACTAACTCGAAGAGCGACCGGCTCGGTGTTGCTCGATCGTCCATTCGGCGGCGACGTTCGCGGCTGGGGGAGCACAATCATGCCCGAGCAGCTCTGCTGCAGCGCCGGGATATCCTTCAGAGGCGGCAGCATATCCGCCGGGATCAGACGCGTGTACTGGCCATTGCCTCGATCGTAGCAATAGGCGTAGCTGGACTCCAGCTGCAGTTCCGACACGGAGCCTTGGTTTGGGTAAGGCGCGATGCCAGAAGGCTGCTGCAATTGTTGCCGGGGAAACGACTCCATACGAGTGCTAGTATAGGTCGGATGTGAGTGTTGTCGCATGCTGGAACTGGCCATGGGATGGCCGACGGGAGAGGAAGGATCGAATGGGCTATACTCGCCGGCTCCGGTACCGCTGCCGCCACCGCGAGCTGAGAGTGCAGCAGCCGCCTCCTCAGCAGCTGCCTGCGATCTCCAGTTGGCGGAAGCGAGCCCTGGGCCTCGAGGCTGGACGGAAAGTGGCTGCATGCTGGATCTCAGCGTTTGGTTTTGGAAGGGTTGCTGCGGCTGTTGGACCTGATGGGCACTGTTACGGTCCGTGGCGAGCTTGTTTCTACGCTCGTTGACGGACTGGAACGGGTTTCGATCCATCTTCGTTGGCTGGCGTTCGAGGAGTGTGTTGGGAGTGTGTTCTATATCGGCGGTCAAATTGAGCTCTAGAAGTGGTGAACGTGACTCCTGTCCAGAATAGACGGAAATAGCGGCAACAGAATCAGGGGACGTGTTTCTAGTAGACGTGTGGGAAGCTCCGGAGGAGTAGTAAGACAAGACGGAGGGGGAGTTGACCATAGACACTGGGCATGGGCCGGAGGCGGTGGGGAGTGGAGGGGAGGTGGAAGAGGAGGTGTTGGCGGTGTCCATATTGAACGGCAGGAAAACGGATTCAATGAATGGTCGCCGCCTGACCAGGGCAACAGAAGATCAAAGAAAGGGAAAAAAATAATAATAATCAGAGCAAACGGGCAAGAATGGGCACGAGCCGTATTTATACCGCCGTTATGAGAGCCCGCGTCAACAACGCCGGGAAAGACGTAGTACGAAACAAGATCTAAGGCGGTTGGCTCTAATAAAACTGTACCAGACAGTCTACTCAATAAAATGATATGGAAAAGGATCAGGATGAGTGTTGCTAGAAGAGGTGACAAGCCCTTTAAAGGAGGGCTGAGACCCTCTCATTCAAGCAAGCTGGCACACACACACGGAGGATCTACGCATACACGTACACACAGACACACACACACACACACAATTACCATCACGGCCGTTTGCTGAGAAACCTCAAATAAGGTTAGATGCGTCTTACGGTTACCTGCAGCTCTGTCTTGTGTTTCCCACGTGACAAACGGCCTGTATACAGTTGGACAAGACATAGAAACATTGGGAGATGTCTTGGGCCGCAAATCAAGGAGATGGAAGACTATAATACTTTTTGTTCGAATCATTACGCGTTTCATTACCTAATTCATGTGCCCTTCGGCTACAAAGGAGTCAGGGCAAACTCGACCAGATGCTAGGATCGAGACAGGAGCAACATGATGCTCTCTTCACTAATTTACATGCAAGCAGCAAAAGGTATCTACCTACAGGCGGATGTGTAGACCACCTACCTATCGGCAATCAAGACCTTTGCAGCCCAGGAGGTGTTATTATTCACAAGGTGCGATTCACCAGGTGCACTTCGGAATGTCTGATTATGGTGCTTTCGGTACTTTCCCGGCGTGCTTCGTCTAGTATTCTTCCGGAGGTGTAACTCAACAGGTGTGATTCGGGAAGTGAAACTGATGTGTGTAATTCAGTGGGCGTTTTCAGTACGCAACCTAGTAGGCCTGTTTCTTCATTGTCTGAGGAGAGGTAATATTCGTAGCCGCTCGACTAAAGACTTCCTGACAGACTGGACAGCAGGGGAGTTCGGATGAGCCCTAAGAGAATCGATGGCAAGTCGGATGGAATACTCGCTGTCCATATTAACGCAGGTGGTGTGCCAAGGATGCGGTTTTCCGCAGATCAGGCAGGCTCCTCCCTCGCCTGTGGGCCAAGCGGGAGTAGGGTGAATAAACGTAGGTGGCGACGTGGTTTTCAGCGTCAAATTCATCCCCAATGCAGGTTCGTTCAATCTGGAAATGTTAGAAGGTACTGTGGTCATCTGCGGCCTTATGACCTGGGGAGTCTGAGTTAACGTTGGAGCAGCGTTGGATGACGGCGGGAAAGGGGTGAACGGTTTCCACATGAGGCTCGGAGGTTGGACTGCTAGAGTATCGTGGGATTTTGGTTGTGGACGGTAGGTGAGATTGTGTTGAGGCGGTGGTTGAAGGTGCGATGATGGTGCTACGGAGGCCGGAGTATAGCTTAACGAGGAAGGTTTCGGCGGCGGCGGCGGTAAAATTGGAGGGCCTCGATTCTGCTGATTAGCTTTGATGATTTGTTAACATCTGTTTTTGACTCTCTTCGGTGTTG